TGTGTGTATGTATATGTACATGTATACAGAACCGGATATATACGCACGCATGTTTCTACTTATACACAAGTTGCATACTTATATGCATTGACGTGCTACATACTTATGCATGCATACGTGTATGCATTATATACATATACTTACATGTATATGTTTCACCTAGGCTGTACATGTGAGTCTTTTCCGAAAACAGATGGATAGATGAGCAGAGAGACATGCACAGAGAGACAGGCAGACAGATAGATAGACAGNNGACAGACAGACAGACACGCAGACAGGGAAGACAGGGAAGATAGGAAGGCAGGCAGCCAGATAGACAGACAGACAGGCCGGCAGACGGAAAGACTGATAGGTTCTGAAAGACAACGATGGGCATTTCAAACTGTTTTTACCTTCGTAGGGGTCCCTAAGCAGAATTTGATCATCGACTTATTAAGTATCCTTGAACCTACATAGAGTAATCAGTACAATCCATGTAGGGTGATCTTTAGGGTCCTTGAAAAGAATTATTAGAGGGTGCCTTTGGGATTATGTTCTAGCCCCGAATGGAATGTCAGCCCCCCTGCTCAGCGCGAGGCTTCTTGCGATACCTTCCACTGCTATAAAGGAGGCCCAGCAGAAGGGGAGGGGCAGGAGACTTGTCTAGCATATGCAAACAGGTTTGGTGTTTCGGGCTGCGGGCTTGGAGTGTAGGCCATGGGTTTAGGGCTTCGGTTTTTGCGTTCGAGTTTGGTGGCTCTTTGAGCACGTGGCTTACACATCAGTAAGGCTGAGCTGCAAATCCGGTCGGATGCTAGGCGTAGTGCAGGGTTTCGGTCCGAGGACCATGGAATGCTGGCATAGGTGCAAGCCGCCGTTGGCTCGGGGTTGTGATGGTGTGTGCTTCAAAAGCAAGGCTTAGGAAGCGATTTTTGGGATAACAAAGATTCCGGATTCCCGACATGCACGCAAGTGGAGTGCACAGCTAAGGAAACCAACGGCTGTCCGCTCTATTCGCACCCTGCCAGTCTGAAGGACAACAAGACTCTTCGCTGGGTCCCTTTAAACCCTATAACCCTTAACCCCGACATGTAGTCTAAGTGGGAGGTGTTTTCTTGTCTTCTGCCTCACCAACTTCAAGTTGACCAGTGACCATACGCCTCGCCTGGATTGCGCCGAAATCCCGAAATCGGAAAGCCTAAACCTGAATCTACACCGGGGGTGGTCAAGGACTTACGGAGTTCTTGTCACGTTGATGGTCTGAGACATGCCGAGGTTCTGGGTTCCAGGCGGAAGCACCGCATTGCAATGAGGCCTAACTGCCAACTCCACCTTAAGCCATGCAGACATACCAATCCACCCTGACCCAGCAGTACAGGATACGGCAGTCCGAAGGGGGTTCGGCTCAAACCAACGACCCTCACTAGGTTGTGAGTTGAGGACCCGGAATGAACCTCTTCCAGCCCAAGCTCTCACTAGCAGCTCCGGGAGCCCGGTGGTACAATCGAAGGTCGAAACCTTCAATGTTCCACTGTTGAAGAAAGCAGAGTCGAACAGTCCTTGAAACCTTGACCCAGTGGCCTTCCAGCCACGCGTTTCAGAATCCAGCTCCACACCCTGCAACCCTTGAGCAGAAAATAGCCTAAAGCTTAAAACCCCAAACCCTAAGCACTGAACCCGTGAGAAATTAGCCTACGGAGTGCTGTGCATGCTTCTGTATCCAATCCAAAATGGAATGGATGAAAACATGATGAGTTGCTGACTGCTGACTCCGTCTATGGAGCAAACTTTGCACCTGTATGTCCTTCCCTGGTTCCTTAACACCTTGCTGTCAACCTTGTTATCCTAGCCAGGCGAGAGGCTCAAAAACCATAAACCGCTTAAACCGTTACCAAGAAATCCCATAAGCAGCCAAGGAATTGCGTCCTTTGCTTCACTTGCTTACGGGCGTGCCCTCATCGCACAGTGCAGGTGGGCGGTTGAGAAATCTGTGAACTGCCTCATATCCCAAGCCAGTGATCCCTCGCGTCCGAAGATGATTCGTCAACACGATGAAGGGGCCTGTTGAACTGATCTGGCAAACTGCAGCAACCCGAGGCCTAAACGCAGAACCCAAACCCAACATCCTGCACTCGTAGTTAAGCCTGGTTGTCTCGTCGCCCATTCAAGTCAAGTCGAAGCTGTCTGACACCCTACGTACAACAAATGTTCACTATCCCGAAGGTTTCCAAACACCTACATATCGCACGCAGTGCAGTGCTGTTTGTAAGGATTTCCGAAATGCGAACTTCGGGTCAATTTAGTCATTGAGTTCCTAAACCCTAAACCGTTTATGGTTTTTTTGCCTCCGCCTCCCTTGCTAAACAGGAGGCAAAAAACCCTAAACCGTTTATCGGACGCTGTATGAGGTGAATTTGCGTGCTCCCGGCATAGACTTCGGCTCCCTTCTCAGCATGGGAGGGACTTGCTTCTCGTTCTCTGTTTGGGCTGAGGGGCTAAAGCAGAGAGGCGGTTAGCATTTCGGGAACAGCCCTTCCGGCTGAGATTTTATCTCTGATTCTGCTCGGGAGGAGTGTGGATGCAGCGATGATGCGAATATGGTGTTTATTGCATCCAAACAAATTTTGCGCCCTTGAGTCCAAAACGGCAATGTTCGACGCATGGCTTTGGGCCTCGGCGCTTGAAATCACGAGCCCCAGCAAACCCGTGTTTTGCCGTGCTTTCAGGGTTCAGAGGGCCAGTACGGTTCGGCTTTTGTGCTATGATGGGTGTAATATAGGGGCCTTAAT